TATTTTGAAAGTGGCATAAGTCATTTTACCGTAATGAAAAGTGGTGATTTTTGAATGTTTATACGAAATTATTTATACTGAGAAAAATATCAGTATATACTGAGATAACAAATAGAAGTAAATCTTCTCGAAAGTTAGCATCCATATTTATATTATATATATATTATATTATATTATATAATATATATATATATAATATATCGACTTAAAAACAAAGTGACTTATGCCACTTTCAAAATAAACGGCTCAATTAAGACGGTAGGATATACAGGGTGTCCCGAAAATGTCTCGAAATCCGCAAAATGCCCGAGGCGAGTTTTAAAGTAATGTCTCCCTAATTGACGCTCAGATTGCGCAGAAAAATGTACAACTTAAGAAGAGGAGCCCTGCGACTTGTTCTTACAGTTGTCGACAATTCGAAACCATAAAAACGAGCCGCAAGGCTCGATTAATCGTATCTCCTCTTCCCAAATTCTCCATTTTCTTTTTTGTGGACAAACTGAGCGTCGATTAGAGAGACATTACTTCCAACTCGCCTCGGGTATTTTGCTCACGTTATTTCTGCTGCTAACTAATAAAAATCATCAGATACATACAGGGTGTCCCAAAACTGGATAACTGGATAACCGGATAGTTATCGCATTGGCGCAAGCGTTGAAGGAGGTCCCTTCTCGGTCCGTCATTGAGAGACGTTTTCCAGGGGCGTTACCTGAAACGAGTTTCCTGGGTGGGGCGCCGACCTCGAGTACTCCATGCAGCCAATGGCGTTGTCGGCGCGGATCGGGAAGCACTCCGGATGAAAGTGCTCGTAGTCCACGTTGCAGCATTTCAGTTTCGCGCCGTCGGGCAGTTCCATTTTCGGCGTGTGGGCGAGATCGTGGACCAGAAACTGGCCGAAGAGGGCGGTGAGCGCCATCAGATAGGGATGTTTGAGGTCCAGACCGCCGGAATGGACTCTCAAGGAGACCTCGCGGGCGCTGGGCAGTTCGGTGTGCGGCAACGAAACGCCATCCACGTATTCCGGCGCTAGAAATCTCGCGTAAGGCTCTAGAGAGGCGCCCCATGTGGGGTGCAAACCGTTGTTGCACCTTCCGGTGTGCGTTCTGTACCGCGCGTCGTACTCCTTACAACCGGCCATCACTTGCAGAAAGGTGGACGTGTCCGGGCAATGGATGGCCGCCACCGAGGGCAACACGGAGGACGCCTCTTTCGACGACATGTTCAACGCCTCCACCAGCATCATCGCCATCGTCTCGATTCGCAGCGCTTTCCTCGAGAGATTCTGCGCGTGCTCGGTTATCTCGTGGGACGCGCTCAGGAAGTAAGACGGGGAGCCATGATTCAGATGCGTGTGCGAGCTCTGTATCGCTTGCTCGGCCTGATGGTACTTCAGCATCGACACGTTCGTACGCTTATTCAGATCCAGCAGCATGCTCGACGGCAGAGTCGCGCCCTCGACCACCGCGAACGCGACGAGGAATCTGCGAATCGGAATCTAAGGATAGGAAATATTAATTTGTTCTTACACGTAGCTGGAAGTCGGATCAGCGTCGCCGGATTCAACCTTTTAGGGACGGCTGAATTCTGCGCGAATACAGGGTGTCCCAAAAATGTCTCGCAATCCGAAAGTGGCGGGTTCCTCAGACCATTTGAAGCAACTTTTTCCTTTACAAAAATTTTCTCCGAGGCACCGTTAACGAGTTATTAACGAAAAACAGTGACCAATGAGAGGCGAGCTCAGATGGCGCGAGGTGATCGAGCCAATGAGCGGAACTGGGCTTCGCGCGCTGGTTGGCTGGACCGTCTCGCGTCAGCCGTACTCGATTCTTATTGGTCACTGTTTTTCGTCAATAACTCGTTAACGGTGCCTCGGAGAACATTTTTGTAAAGGAAGAAACTGCTTCAAATGATCCAAGGAACCCGCCAGTCCCGGATTGCGAGACATTTTTGGGACACCCTGTAGACTGTTGTAAATCGATGTGAGACAAAAGAAGTGTGAAACAATGCATATGAAGACGATTATTTGATTCAAACGATGAGCGAGTGAGCTACTAGAGCAAGCCACTATAGTGGCGCGTCGTTCAGAGAGATGACATCCTCGAAAGCCACTATAGTGGCGCGTTATTCAGAGAGATGACATCCGCGGAAGCCACTATAGTAGCGCGTCGTGCCTAAAAGGTTAACACGTCGAACGCCCAGCGCCCGCGAATCGACAGAGTTTCTTCCGCCGCGGCGCCACGAAGCAAAAAGAAGAAAACAATTTACACGAAAGACTATAACGTATTGTACCGAGCGTCCAGAGTCACTCAAATTATGTTTACAATGTCTTAACGAGTTCCATGGTAACTAATACGACGTTATAATATTTTAAAAGCAAATTTAACCCTTTGCACTCGAGACTATTTTCACTCCAAAATGAAGACATTCGTTTCAACCTACAATATCTCCACTTGTTACTATTGTTTTTATTCGATGCATGTGAAATTGAACGTGCATGATTGTAGAACACTTTCATTATTTATCAGTTTAGCGAATAATTTAATAATAAAATAAATTTAATAATGCGAAGATTCTTTTGAAGACAGTGTAGCCATTTTTTTGCGACGCCTCAGAGTCGTCATTCGACTGCAAAGGGTTAGATATAAGTATAATTTGTCAGCATAAGTATATCTTATATTTTACTATTTTATTTTATTATTAGTATAGTATAGTATAAGTATATTTTTAATATTTGCTTTCGTTTACTTTATACTTTACTGTTACCCTATATTACTTATACTCGTCATAGTTGTCACAATTACTATAAATTACCTCCAAAATTCTGTTTCATTTGGACGAAGACTGCGGAAACAGCCGTCTCACCCAGACACGAGTGACGCGGCATTCAACGTCATTAAAGCAGCATAACCCGGCGACAGGCCTTCTTACGCAGTTAACAGCGATTCCGCGGAAACGTGGAAGCATAGCATGTGGCCGATTCGAGACCGCTTAATCCGGCTTGATATCGTAGGGCGAACGATTGTGAAAGAACGACGCGACTTCGGAGAACTTGCTCAACATCAGATAACGAGGAGCGTGCGGCAATCGCGGTCCCTTGAAAGATTACTCCTTCAAGAAGAATCCTGTTGCCTCTAATGAAGTTGTTAAATAATAGCGTTGCACGAAATACCATAACCTTCGGTTAACCGTGGGAATGAACGAAGAGAAGCAGGAACGAGCCGCGGTTAGGATTGGCGCCGTTTACAGCTGCGCTATCGAGATCGTTGATTCGCGAGCTTAACCGTTCGAGTCCCAGGGATTATTCGGAAAAACACGGTCGAAAAGTGGCGAACAGCGTAATAGCGCTTGTCTTAATTGATTGATCGAAGAGAACTAAGCGGCGCGATAGTGCTCGTCAAGATTGACAAACGAGACGAAAAGAAAAAAAAATGAGGAAAAGCAGCTATGCGATGTACTATAATATAGCATAGCTAATATAGCTATGGTGTCCCGAAAATGTCTCGCAATCCGGAAATGGGAGGTTCCTGAGGTCATTTGAAGCAACTTTTTCCTTTGCGAAAATGTTCTCCGACGCTTCGTTTACGAGTTATTAACGAAAATATTAACGCCCGCACGCCCTTAAAAATCATAATCCCGCGCGCGTATACAGGATGTCCCGAAAATATCTCGCAATCCGGAAATGGGAGGTTCATGAGGTCATTTGAAGCAACCTTTTCCTTTGCGAAAATGTTCGCCGAGGCTTCGTTTACGAGTTATTAACGAAAAACACTGACCAATAAGAGGCGAGCTCGGCTGGCGCGCGGCGGCCCAGCCAACGAGTGCACGGAGCCCAGTTCCGCTCACTGACTCGGCCGTCTCGCGCCAAATGATTTCGCCTCCGATTGGTCACTGTTTTTCGTTAATAACTCGTAAACGAAGCCGCGGATTGCATTTTCGCTAAGGAAAAAGTTGCTTCAAATCACCTCAGGAATCCCCTACTTTCGGATTGCGAGACATTTTTGGGCCACCCTGTATAGCTATAGCTACTATATAAGTAGCTATGCGTCACTAAAGTTTGCTGCTTGTGACTCAAACGGTGAAAAATCCCGATCACCCTCCACCGTTTCGTCTCTCCCGTCGAAGATCGGGTCAGAATTCTCGGAGTTTCGTGCGCGGGAGACGCGGGTCCACGTGACAGCAGGACCGCTATCTAATTATCGGACCGTTATCTAAAGACGGACCTCTGTGCACCCGACACGAGACCCTTCGGCGTCGGCAACGCGAGAGTTTGTTACCCGAGAAGTGGATGTCGCCGCGGTAACGTCGCATCCTCCCACCGGTGAACTCGTGAGAAATTGTTTCCAACGTCTATCCTACGGTACACCTTGAGGTTACCTAATAATTGTCATGTAAATTCAACGGTTTCCTTATTATCTAACTTGACAATGATGAGATAGGATCGATCATTAAAAACACAATCGCGGGGTTGGGCCATGTAGATTACGCGTTTTTTCGCCGGTCTTGCGTACGTACGCGCGCGAAATGAATTAGGGTAACGCGGCAGACGTCTCCTCTCTCTCTCTCTCTCTTCGTGCGAGAGGATTCTGGGGACGGGAAGATTCGCATGATTCTCCCGATAAAAACTGCGCTTCCTTGTTAGTTAGCGAAGCGTATAGGCAGGTCTACCGATACCGAGCGAGTCGCGTGATCCGTTTCAACATTGATCACGAGGGTCCCGCGGCGAACTTTCACACAGGACTCCGAAGACCTTCGTTCGACGGAGGATATAATCGCTTAGCCCGAATCTAGAGAGAACCGTCCCGCCGCCGTTGCCCTTATCGCGTTAAGTTCATTCATCGATTCGGCCGGATTCCGCGGGCGAATTTCTGGGTCGGCGGATCGGAGGTCCCAGTTGGGCCCTCGATCGCGTCGATATGGCTGCACGGCCGCGGATCGCGAACAAATTAAAGCGACCTTAAGAGGGGATCGAAGAGGGATCGCTGTCTGACATTTAGACATCGCCTTCCTGGTTCTTCTGTGATTTCCTTACGTAACCTTCTGCTGTGCTCCCATGATTAGGGGGCCGTGTGCAGGCAAACGGGCGCCATTTTTTTCTCTGACTCATCGCAGAACACGCTTCTTATCGTTTTCTTTTTTGTTTTGCAGTCGAATGGCGACTCTGAGGCGTCGCTAAAAATTGCTACACTGTCCTCAAAAGAATCTTTGCATTATTAAATTTATTTTATTATTAAATTATTCGCTAAACTGCTAGAGCCGCTTTTGGAGATCGATCTCGAGGAGGTGAACTTGAAAATGGAGTTTTTTTCTTTTTTAAAGAGACTAGTGTATTGAACTAACGGAGTTCGTTCGTGGATAATTAATTATTGTTTTGGTCGAAGCGACGTCGATCGAGTGGATCGGAAGTTGAAGCAACATCGGTGACCTTGAGATTTCTGGAAATTCAACCTTGAGACGAAATTCTCTCTGTCGCGATTTTCGCTCGCTTTGCGCGGATATTTGTCCCTCTCGGAGATCTTCTCGTTGTTACCGAAAACAAAGGACAAGCTACGATCTTCAAACATCGATCTTGGTTCACTCGTCCCGCACATTTCGAACAATAAATCGTACGACCGAGGGATCATCGATCGATCCGCAGAAATTGTCACAGCCGACGTTGGTTCACGTTATCCGCGCGAGAACAGATCCCGCGAGAAAACAATCGGCCGTGTTCCGAGTATCGAACAATTAGCCGAAAGAAAGTTAACGAGAGCAAACCATCGCCAGCCAGTTCGATTGTTTCTGCGTCACGTGACTCGCGGGAATAAAATTTGAAATTCTAAATAGAAAACGCGTGCAGCCTAGTTTTCGTTTTAATTAGGAAAGCGCGAATAGAAATCGATGGCACCGCGGCCGAATGTGTCAGCGTCTAGACGGACGGTTAATCGCCTCTGAGAAAGCAATCATAAATATCCTAACAACTCGAGAAATCCATTATATCGTTAACGAACGAGGACAGAAGGTACTCACCGGGACAGAAGGATGAATACATGATCGATCGATCTCCGTTCCAGGCACGTTGACATTCTCCCAAAAATGATTCTCTCACTCGGCGCGAGAACGATGAGTTTCGTGTAGGTATAATAAGCGAACGGGGTCCGTGTGTGTATCAGCACGCGATAGAATTCATTTGCCTTGGCGAATTTCGCAAGACCCTGCGCCGGGCACGTACGAGAACATGTAGCGGCAAACCTGAACTGAGACCGATCCTCGAACGAAAGTAAAACCTCTGTGCGTCCGGTCGGATAAAAGAGTGGGGCTCCACGGTGTAAGGATCACGGTAATATAGGGTGTCAACAATATACCGGCGCGCGCGTGTAACACTTACTTAGATGCGACGGTAAAAGTGCATCGCTGCTCCAGTCGGATTGGTATTATGAACGAGACCAAGGTTCACCTTTCATAGACGCCGTTGCCCCGTAGTCGCGGTTGGACGTGCAGTTTCAAGGCTCAAAAGTGCATTTGCATCTTCCCAGATACCAATACGCGTTGCGCGCTCAGCCTATGCACCCTGTGTGTATGTGTACGTGTGTGTACGTTCGCAGCATGCCACGCGTTGGCATCGCGATGTCATTGCGCTATGCTAATTAACGCTCACGGGCTTGACCGTAATGTCGGCACTGGATGAGCATTCTTAGGAGCAACGCGAACGATTGACCTCCGCGCGGAGGTCGTTCGATCTCTCGCGCGATTATTATTTAGGAGCAGATGCGAGAGTGAAGGAAGAGCTAAGGTAGAATCGTTGCTCTCGGAGAACGACGGGCTCTCGACGTTCCGGTGTTTATATCTCGTTGTCGGCACGGAAAAATCAAAATTTCATCACACTTTTTGTACAACAAATTTATTCTGTTTTTTTTTTTGTTTCGTTTCGTTTTGATGATAAAAATGTCGATCTTCGATTCACATGTCAGTTGAATTACTCTGTTAATTCTAAAGGATTCCTAGAAGGCAGTTAAGAAGGATCTCTACCTGGAGTTCTCTTTGAGCAGTTTTATTCTCGCTCTATCTCTGCCAACAGTGTCAGTTTACAGTTTTGATCTTTTACTATTACGTTTCGATAGCGATTGTTTACTTACATGGTATTAAAATTATCTATGATCGCATTTACATCGGCGTGTGATTACGTTCCATCGCTCGAATCGCCGAGCCTCGTTCTAAGACCGAATATCGTCCGTGTTGTCTAGAACGGCTCCACTGTAGGCCAGATCCCAATAATGCTCGACCTGGTGCTTCTTAAAGTGTTCGCGTGCCATTTTCTCGATCGGGCAAACTTTAAACTTGATCTCGCCGAAGTGGCGTTGCTTGCTAGTCCCTTCCCAGACGGGCACACATTTGTTGGGCACGTCGTTACCGTCGTTGTCCTTTATAGTGTCCTCCTCCCACTTGATGCGGTGCATCATTAACCGTTTATACTTGTTCAACTGTTTCGCGCCGCCTTCGACTACAACGACGTTGCAATCGCGGAAAAGCATCACGCAACCAGTCAGATAAAGCTGCTTCGCGTTAGTCTCTACCTTGAATTTCTTCGACGCGTTATTTAATAGATCGCGTATTCTAGAAAAAAAAATAACATTAACAGGTTAACGGTACTTTTCTATAAGAAGCATTGGTAAACATTGTAGTTTATGTTGTCCCTTTGCATACCTGTAGACAGCCACGTGTACACCAAGTGTAGTATCCTCCTTGAGTTTCCTCGCCTTCTTCTCGCGTCGCTGATCAGCGGTTAATCGTCGTGCCGCATTTGCGTCCTCGTGTGCTTTTAATCTTTTAGCCATTTGCTGTCGAACATGAGCTTCTATTTTCGTTGGATCCTGGACGGCTTCTGTACCTAACACTCTCATAAGATTTGAAATTCGTAATTTCGGTTCGGGCGGTGGTTCAAGGCCTAATCGGATCTTCTCTTGCTCTTCCTTCCACGCTTCGCGCCTATTTTGCCTGCGCAATTTTTTACGTTCCTTCTTCGTTAAAAATACAGGCATATAGATCGGTTTCAACGGGTCGGCTGCGAATAATAAATGGAATTAGTAGCTAAATCGAAATGTTACTCTACGGTCGGTTAGATCATCGTGAAATATACATACTTGGTGGCCGCATTTGCGTAGGATGTTCAACGAGATTGGTAATAGTAGAATTTTTTATTCCTGTAGGCTCGTCATCGTTCGGATATCCGCCTGTTAATATAACAGAGTCCCACCATTCCACGTTAGGCACGTCTTCGCTGAGAGCTTCAGTTTTCGGCGCTATAAGCGCCAACTTAGTTGCTGAACTTATACCGGTTTTTCTAGCTATTTGACTAATTTCATTTTGTAACTTTTCCAGTTGGGCTTTCATACGAATCCTTTCTGCCAACTGTTGGAACTTTCCCGGCTCATGGAACTTTAGCGTACGTTTACCGCGTACGGCGGGTTTCACGCCTATCCTATTGTCGAAAAAGTGCGTGTCCTGAATTTCTTCCGGACCTTTGGATTCTTGTAACTGTGCTTTAAATTCTTCACGCTTTTTCGCTCGTATATTGGCCTTCAATGTTGGCACTACTTGCGTCAGTTGAACTTCTTTGCCCGTTATATCTACCGTCCTTCCTGATTCGTCTAGGATCAGCGGAGTTGGTTTGTCAGGAACGCTGACATTGCCGAGCAGTCCCGAGCTGAGTTTACTTCTGATTTGAGCTTGTAACGCAGCAATTTTTCGTGCTTTGTCAGAGTCTGTTTTACTTAAAAGACCTTGGTTATACATGCTACCTACTGTTGGTAATGAATCCCGTGTCTTAAGTAACGGTTTCATCGGAGCCACCTCCTCCTGCTTGATGGCCTTCAATGCCCTCTTTCGTTCTTCGATTTCTCTTTGAGCATTCGCCATCATTTGTCGTATCTGCGCAAATACAGTTATCCATAAAAGTATGTAATGCTTCGCTTACATAGTAACAATGGCTACTCACCTTATCGGCAGATAATTGTGCTTCCGTTGTCTTTTCATTTTTCACTTCGTCGTCCCTAAATCGAGGTTTCTTCGCTTCTTTCTCCTTGTCTTTATCTTCCACATGATTCCGTTTTTTACTCTTCTGCGCTGCTTTGGCGTCATCGTAGATTGCAAAGATTTTTTCCGTTAATTTTGAAGCTTTTTTGTCCTCCAGTAAAGCAGACAGTTTATCTAACAGGAGCATCGAATATATTAACGTTATCGTTTTAGAAACATTGAACCATCGATATTCCAAATAACAACAATACTAACCCGCTGTTTTACGTTTATCGTAGCCAGAGGTAATACAATTGACAGCCGTGGTAACGATAGCAGGTTCCCCAAAACCAAGGAATTTATGAACCGCTTTTTCAATCTGTGGTTTCATTTCGTCGATTTCTTTTCTTGTTAAATACGCCATGTTTCTAACTTTGTGGCGGCTACCTTCAGGCTTGCCAGCAGATGGATTCTCCTGCCCCGCAAGTAACCGATCCGCCTCAATTTGTATATATACAAATTTCGTCCGTCCTTCCGACATCCCAACCTCAAAGGCAGGGACCGCTAGAAAAGCCTTGCGACGAGTCCTCTAGCGGGACCCGGACGGAAACGCGCTCTCCCTTCCTTTTCCACCGAAGCCTACGTCTTTCCAGAGCTGCCAAAACTTTTCGTTGGAGTGGATTTATTCGTCGAAAACACCGTCGACTTTATCAGAAAATAATCAACTACACAACATAACCTCTAGGAACTTACGAGAGTTATAGAACATATGATGTCATGATACATATTATTCGTTTACTGTTCAACGTTTATTTCCTAATTGGACGTTGGCACGTGTACTCAAATAACTTCGACATCACATTACAAATATATCGCAATTGTTATTCAAGTTATTCACTAGTTCACTTTGCACACGAAACAACTCGTTCACGAAATTAGAGCGTACTAAGAAATTCCCCTAAATATTTCCCTAGACTGCGATTTCAGTTACCTACACCAGAGGGCGTGCATGTACGACGTTTATTTGCGCCTTATTCAAACTATTTTACTAAATTTTACAGACTCGATTATAGTGTAAATCAAGTTATGCATATTTAAATCTTTTCAATTATTTAGAGATACGTAATTAATTTAATTCCACGTTACCGACAACTCGTAAATTTAGAATTGTTAACTAGAATCGAGTATTGGGTATACTTTATTTCTAGTACGAGTGCTTAATATATTATTTGGAGGAAACGGATTTACGCTTTTCTTTATTTATTTATTTCAAATGAATCTTTACAAATAAATTCGAATTTAAGTGAAATGCATAATTGTATTATGCATTTAGATAAATTTAAATAAATGCAAAGAATTGTACTATGCGCATCTTCCTGCGCAATCAGCGCACCGCGCATCTTCCCGCGCAATTAGGACACTGCGCAAGATCAAAGTCAAGTGGATGCCACACTGTTCAACAGCTTTCGGAGTTACTTAATTTTCTTTCTTACTGATAATATTTCTTTTCATTTCTATGATCTAACAATAAGTGTTCCTAACATTTGTCAACGAGTGAACAATAAATGACGAAAAGAGAAAAATTAAAAGAGAATAATATGCACGAATCATATTTAGCGTCCACTTCATTCCTGCTTGGTAAGATTCAACATTTCAAATTCTTTAAACTGTTATATTTATTTTTATTAATTAAATCGTTCTGTACGTTCAGCGTCAATCAATTGACTTGGTACATTTGCAACATTTATCAGAGGCTTGGTTAATTGATCTGTGGAATATTATTCGAAATCAATTTTATGGTGCTCGAATTCCATCGATGGATCGCTAGCGCCACCTGGCGTCCTTAATTGGCGATATCTTGAATTTCAATCATTTCATTGTTAGAATTTCATTGTACAAACAAAATCGAGGCGCATCCGTGGATATTTATACGAGCACGGATTTCGGTGAATTATTTTATGGAAATTCGAATTGATAAACCAATTATTTCTTCTATTAGGTACCCTATTATATCGAAAAAAAATTGTTTAAACTGTGGCGTCGCATCGCTCGCCACTGCTCACCCGTTACCTGAGCGCGGCCGCTAGCAATCCAACATTTGCCTTCCTAATCGACTCTCGTAAACATTTCCATTACGACAGCCCTAATAAACACCAAAGGAGAGAGAAAAATCTGGAAGGAATAAATATTTTCTCTGGTCGGAGAACACTTCTGCAGTCAAGCTGTCTTCAAATGCGAAGGGTTTACGCTTTCAGCACCGCGCCTTTCGGAGATCGAAATTCTTTGATTTGATAACGAATTTTTACAATTCGATGCTAGTAATTCGAACGGCGCATTTGTTTCATTTTGCTCAGTTGTAATTGGACCACGGATTTTACACAATTATGTCAAGACTACACGTGTCGGTGAATTATTCGTAACTTATTTAGCTTGTCCAACGAAGAAACCAAGTTCTAGCTTTGACTATTGCTTCGTACAATCGACGAAGAAAATTTTTATGTTGCAAAAGAGATCGTATTATAATACTATATTAATAATAATAGTGTGGCGTCGCATGTGCTCACCCGCTACCTGAGCGCGGCCGCTAGCACAATCAAACATTTGCCTTCCTATTCGTCTCTCGTAAACATTTCCATTGCGACAGCCCTAATAAACACCAAATGTGCATTAGAATCACATTAGGAACACATTAGAAAATGTGCATTTTGATCCTCAAAAACTCCTTTAAAAACACTCCCAATAAAACAATTATCCGAACTTTCGCACACCGCGACTCGCGCAGACCTTCCTTTCTTCCCCTTCCAAGAGAATTTCATCTTTTCCCTTCTTATGACTGTCCTCGCAAACATTGTAAAAAAGGCAAAAGGCAATTCCGCAAAGGCAGTTAATTAAGTCACCCAAGTCGAGTCAGTCACCCCAGTCG